AAGAGTTCTTATTTTATATTTGGATGACTATTTTGCACTTTGGTCACATCGTAAGGAAAATCTAAATGAATTCCTCAATTTTATTAACCAACTTGATCAAAGAATTAAATTCACAATGGTGGTGGAGGAGGATGAACGGCTACCCCTTCTGGATTATGAAGTCATACGCTCTAAGGGGACACTCATTAGGGGACTGTGCAGAAAGAATTCGTATGCGAGAATAATCCTTAATTTTCACTCCTATCATATCTGAGGAGTTTGATCATCAGAAGCTTACGACTAACGGACAATGAGTTCTTGGACGAGGAGTTGGACAAACTGATACAAATTTGCCTTAGTTACGGATATCCAATACCATTTATTGAAAACAATGCAGAGGTTATAAAAGGCCGATTTCAACTTGGATTTTATGAAAATCAGATCAGGAATCAGGAGGGTGACCAGAAGTTGATTGGCCTACCCTCATCAGAACTGAGCCAACATTTGCGACCGTTACTAAGGAAATGGAATATCAGAGTGATAACAAAGGAGATGAAAACACTTTTCACAAGTCTGCCGACGCAACACGAGAAGACGGACAAACTTGATTGCCCGGGAGTTTATCGCATCAAATGCGGAAATTGTGAGCAGAAGTATATTGATGAAACAGGAAGAAAAATAAGTCTACGAATAAAGGAACATGGATACGAAAAGATTAGAAATAGCGGAACACATTGCACGAACGGGGCAAGAAATCGACCGAAACTTTGGCTGCATATGTTTAAATATGAGAAAACACAAGATCTGAGAGGCCATCAAGATAATGACCGAGAGAAATCTAATGAACAGGAAACTTGAAGAAGACGGGATCAACGAAATCTTTGCGTATTGCTTAAATAAACTCGGAGAAGACCACGCAACAGAATGATCAGCAAAAAGAAGACGACTACATCAAGGTAATATCCTTATTTTAAAAAAAAAAGATTTCAAGGGGACGAGAAAGGAACAATTGGACGAAAAAATAAAAGGACCGGTATGAAAGAAAATTAACCAAACCACTCTATATCTATCCATCTATGTTTTCACTTTTCATTTGGCTCAATTGAGTCTATATAAGAAGTAAGATATAACCGGTTATTGTTCTTGACCTAGAATGAAACCCAGCTCTGATGATGTCCTTCATATGATGGACGAAAGCTCTGCACGTTTTCAGCCGAAACGAGTGAGGAAGCCTTGGGTAATGCGTCAAAATGAATATCGTATACAAGCAAAACGGCTGCAATATAACGAGATTCATCCGTCCTCATCTGGTGAAATCGACCAACGAAACTAATTAGCCAAACCTTTTTTTATCTATCTAGTTTTTTAATTTTTCTTTCGCTTATTTGGATCTATATAAGAGGAAAGATAGAACCGGATAATCTTATTGCCCTTGTCTTAAATTGAGATTTTTACAAGAATGAGTGAGATGTACTCACTTAATTTCGTTTAAGGCGATGAAGGACTGGTAGAAGAATTTTCTTAAAATGATATGAGTCGAGCTGACGCTTCCATTGATTTATACATAGCCTTGCTTTCCTGAAAGTTGTTCTCATCCAGGGTGGACTGCAGTTTCGACCTCGCGTCGGTCTTATCAACACCCTCAGCGGGAGTCGAACCGCGACAGTGCAGGATGGGAACTTGACACGCTAACCACTCGGTTACATTGCCACGAGCGCCTTTTGGGTCACAGGGCAAATGTGAATTTTCAAGAAAGGCCAGGCCTTTTTGCCATATCATATTCTTACGGTGGAATTGTCGATGAAGCAAACTTATTTCTGCTATAACAATCGACTACTACACTTTATTGTTCGAATTATTGTTCTCGTGAATACCAGTAAATCAGTTCCAATTATGAGGATGTCCATCATATGATGGACGAAACTAAGTCTGTTTTCACCGGAAACGAGGGAGGTCTCGTGGACTGCCTTAACCTGAACGTCATATAAAATCCGAATTGTTGTAGTACAACGGGATTCAGCCATCCTATTTTGGTCAAATCGACCTACGAAACTTTTCTTCGTGCACGTCAACGAAATGAAAATCCCCCAACATTGTATAATTTGAGCATACACATACATCTTTCGATTATATATTCACCCTAAACTTTATTAAAATTATAGGAAAATGAGAGTTTTCTGAAGGAATATTATTATTATGTTTTATTATATCTTAAACAATACTGTAATAATCAAGTCGTTTCCTTTCATGTCATGACTTGCATTACTTTTGCATTAAATCTGTCAGAGCTTATTCAATATACTCTGAAATATTTAGAAGTTATATATCATAATTTTGCAACAGATTTATGCTAAAACACTATATCATAAGTTTTTTAGTAGATTTTTAATTTTCTTTGTAAATTCCTGGCTTTGGAATCCAGCATTAAGCATAGCTTACTGGCCAATAATTGATGTAGGCGAAGAATATATAAAATGTCATAACACAAAACAGTAGAACTCGCCTCTTCAAACTAAATGAAAGGCACTCCAACAGCATTAGAACATTTTGTTTTTAAGCCTCTCCAAGGTTTTAGAGAAGTGGCTTTACAGCTTCATTATTTTACTGGAAGTTACAAGCGAAAATCGAGTTATATATACACAATTTGTCGTAGTTAGATAATCTGGGTGGCATGAGAATTTCGCAAGACACTCTACCTTCGTCTCTAAAGCTGCATTCCTTTATACTCAAATTCTTTGTACCTGCGTGAATGTGTCAAATTGTTGTGAAAATGGGTTATTATGCTTGAGTGGTGCCAGTAATTTCACCTTCGAATTCGCTCTAGTTAGCTTTAGAACCTATGCATTATTAATAACCCTATTTGCCTTAACTCCTTTCCAGTCATTATCCCCATTTCCATCCAATCATTTTCCGATTATGTTTGCTACCCTTATTCTGCATCCTTATTTCTTTCTTTATGAAGAATGGCCCTCTAAGCATTCGAATATTCGATCGTCTAGTAAAAGCACGATAATTCATCTTAGAAAAAGATAGTACACTTTTGTCAATATTATAAATATATGAGTAAAATAGAGTGACTGTAGATGGTACTTCATCTTGTTATTTGGCTTCTTATATCTCCTCGTTGCTTTACTCTAAACCTTTTATTAGAGTTCTCTAAGTGTACCTTCAAGTAAAAATCTTTCATCATTATTCCTACCAATTTTCATCTCAATCTCTGCCCTGAATTCTATTTTCTTGTCCGTTTGCTATATTCTTATAAATAATTTCATATGACATTTTATTTAGATTAGAAGTACAGGTCAATAATAGCGAAAAATGTTATGATTATCCCGTATTACAGAATTTCACTGTAATGAATCAACTTGTGCAGTCCCCAAAGTCTCTACATGATGAAATTTCACCTGCATATTTCTCCTTTCTCGTATGCTCTCTAAATCTCTTCCTTGGTGTTTCTCCACCTATACGTTCGTTAGCTTTCCTATTCTCTGTCCGATTCTCTTTTTTATCTTTTATTAAGCACACGCCAGTTATGATCAAATTTTAGCCGTTCATCCATTTCGACTAAAATTACTCTAAGCGTCCTCTTCAAAATAATTGCTTCTACTTATCAAGTATATTTAAAAGAGCATAAAAACAAAGACTTAGAAATCGCAAGTTAGCCATTCTGAGCACTATCTTAACTATGAGCATATAGCCTCTAACATTAACGCCAACCACTCTTACAACAGTGGCTCTGCTAGTTTCTTTCTCTAGTCACTTTTAATTCAGGTTTTTCCAAAGGGAGATTGTCTGGGAAATGTCGCCAAGAGGGGCAGAAGGATAAGCCGGAGGGAAATGGAGGTACCTGTTCGTTCTATCCGAACGCAAATTGAAAGATGGCCACGATTTATAGTGCCCGTTTAGACTTAACAGGATAAGGTGTTCAGCCCCTAGATCCTATTAGATAGCTTGACTGGCAAGGCTAGATAAGGAAGCCTCCAATTGTCTATATGTACTTTGTGTATGTGCATATGTGTATACACGGGTGTGCTTTCGTGCTAAAAATAATTGACTCATGGGTGGAATTTGGCTGAATTCTAGGAATCACAGCCAATCCCATATTAAATTGCGGCTAGAGAGTTAAGAAAATATACCATTGAAGAAATAGCTGATTAAAATAACTTTTATTCATCCAATTTAGGAGGACGACTTGTCACGATTTAGACTGAGCGGTTAAGACAAAACCTGTATGCATCTTAATAAAAATGGCTAAATTGAGAGAAAATTCCATCTAATGAAGTGAGACAAAGATCATATAATAAGATAAAAATACTTTAAATTACTATATTTTCTTCCTTTATGCCCGAATGATGGATAAAGACGGGAAAATGAATTGAGTTCTAGCTATAACTGGCACGCATTTTTCCAGAGATGATTCATAACTTAAAGAGAGTTAGGAAATTAACTCAGCATAGTGCTTATAAATGCTGTGACCTTATTTGAATAGTCCTTAGACCAAAATTATACTAACCAGTATCAATAGTTTAATGGGATTAAGAGTCGAGTGTTGGATTGAGATTTCTACATTTGAAATAAATAATATGAATCCCTAAATAATCATGAAAAGTAGTGTTATTTGATCTCGCTATCACAACTGGGTCGAAATGACATTTAGATCTTGTGGAACGTACCTCTTTCTGCGTCCTTTGTAACAACAGTTAAGATGATTTGCAGCATCGGACCTGTAACTTCGGACAGTCCTAAAGACTTCGTCAGTATCGTAGTCGGTTACATCAATCTGCCATCCTTATGACGGAGTTACAATCTCTCAAAGTAACAAAATTAGGAAAGCTATCTTTGACTTGATTTGTAAGAGGCACCAGAGGATGCTGCATGAATATTGGATTTATAGGCGGCCTAAAGTCAAACAACCTAGTAGAAGAGAAAGGGCTTCTAGAATAAAGAAGCTCATAGACCGCATAAAAGATAAAAATAAAGTAAGGAATCAACCTTCTATCCCCATGAACTCTGAATTAATAGCATTCCTCAAGGACAAACAGAATTTTTCACTTTGGAATGTAAATAAGACAATTAAGGACATTTTAGTGGGTGTGATAAATACCTCTGAGAAGATTACGGAATAATCAAATCGAGACATAAAAATTCAAATTATCCCAACAATCTTAGAGCATCAATAATAAAAGAATAGGAAAGATATAAGAATATTACATAAGAAATTGAAAAGCAATGATAAAATAGTTATAGGGGGGACCTTCATTTCGTATGAAAGTGCTTGAAGAAGAGCCTTGTTGGTTGATCTCACCAGAATACGACTGCCGAATCCCGCTTAACTGTGGACGTTTGGCTTTAATACTACATTCAGATTGACGCAGTCCACGAATAACCCTCCCTCGTTTGGGGTGAAAACGGTTTGAGCTTTCGTCCATCATGTGATGGACATCATCCGAACTAAAATTCATTTTTGTAAAAGTCTCACGTTAACAATAGGGAAAGAAACCTATCCGGATCTAGCCTGCCTCTTAAATATTCTCAAAAGTGAAAACGAAAAGTAATAAGCCTAGATAGATATATGATAGTTTGGCTAATTCATTTTCATATTGGTCCTGCTACTTTGCTCGAGTGTTTGTGCGTGGGTACGTTGACATCTAAGCGCAATAACAGTCCTAGATCAGATTGATCAAAAAAGACTAATGTTAGGATCTGAACATCAAGGATATTCATCCAATAAAAAGCCCTGACGGAGACTGCCTAAGTCCGTAAGCAAGTATGGTTGAAATAAAGAAATATAAGCTTGTTTGCATGTATGCCAGTTTACGAAATCACCTG